CTCACATGGACTGTTTAGAATCCGTGTACTTGGAAATTCGGAGCTCTATATACTTTAAGCGGCCCTTAACCGTGAATGAGACGTTCGTTACTGGCGATATATAAAAACCGCTTTGTTTCGACAACAAAAAAAGAAAAGAAGCGAAAAAAGAAATATATATTCCTAAAATATTATATATTAAATTTTCATTTATCAGTCCGGTTAATAGTATTTTAACATTTGATTCGCATAAAAGGAAGTTTCGAGTGCTGTTAGATCGAGTTAATTTGATCTCATTGCTTGAAATGTTTCTTTGATTAAAATTCTGTATCAGCCTCTCGAGTTTCCTGAATGCCTTAGAATCTTTAAATATAATTGGATATTCGAAATTACCGCACAGTGTATTTATTTCATAAAGATATATATATATATACTAACGTTTTTTTTTACACTTCGCCGATTTATCTAGAAATTGTATTCGCATCAAAGTCAATTCGCCACGTTTTGTAAATGCTATAAAATCAATCAAAGAACAGGAATGACGTAAATAAAACACTGAAGCACTTTCTAGTAATTTAAGAATCGTTATAAAAAATTTCAAAAGCATAAATATTTATTGAATAGATATCATAAAATATATATCACACACATCACGATAGATATTATACATTTATAAAAAATGATGATTATATATGAATTATATTATTGAACAATGTATTGCGGTCTGTTAGATTTTGTTTCACTATCACAATTATCGTCTGCATCTATTGATTGCATATCTGTTTTTTCGTATTTTCGGTATCAAAAGAAAGATCAAGTATTTTACGGAAAATGTCATATGTTGTGATATATATACCATCAGAGATTTCTATCTTAATTCTCCATCATATGTCATATTACATTAACCCGCTTTGATGAAAAAAAAATAACTCTCTTCAAAAATATTAATCGCATATATCGCGTTCTGAAATTTTTTAAAAAACAACAGTTTTAAATAAAAAGCATTTATTTATTTGTACATTATAACGATTCACGACTTGTGACACGCATACCCGTTACTTTTTTCCATAAATGTCACAAGATCCGAAACACGTCTAAGATATTTCTTTCCGTGAGGATTCTCTCGAGACAGGTCATAGATTGTGCGTGTGTGTGTGTGTGTGTGTGTGTGTGTTTGTGTATATATATATAAAAGACGTTTATTTATTCGTTTCCGATATAAAAACAGCACCGGAACTGAAGTTTATCAATTGCGATGGTATGTCTCTTTAAGACGCCACTTTCAAAGCGACAATTAATCTCCTTCGAGAAACAGATGGGCGGTGCAAAATTTTTTACTGAAATGCAAAACGATGACAGTGAGTTTTTTTTCAGCAAAGCGGAATGGAATATCAACCTCTTTTAATCGTAGATGTGAAATTTAAATGATTTATTGCGAATGATAGAAGGGCATAAAAACTCCTTTTACGATCCGAGCGTCGCAACAGGCATGCAGAAATCGAATCCGGTTGCAAATTCGCTGCAATTAGCTGCAAAATTAAATTGAGACGATGAAAGTAGACGCTACTGCTCGGATTTGCATCGCGTCAGTCCAACGAGCATCGTAGAGCTTGTTCGTTACCTACGCATTTTGCGTCTGCAGACGTTGACGCAAAACGACAGAAGAACCTAAACTTCGTCGTCTCAAGAGAAGATGGAAAGAGCTGGATGCGCTTGTCACATTTCGTTCTACTTGCCTGCCGTAATTCGTCCGTTTCCACTTTGTACCTGATGCTCGGCACTATGTGCCTTTAAGTCTCTTTCCTCAGCCTGTAGCCTGTTCCTGAATGACGTAATTCCTGCAACATCGTCAATCCGCTTTATTGGACGATATAAAAACCAAGCGACCACTCACGAGAAGAAGGATGAAGTCCTTTTAAAACATCGTCGCGAAGAATGCTTGATGTGAGTGCGACTCAATAGTCGCAAATTTTGTCAAGATTATGTCTGCCGTAATTCGTCCGTTTCTACTTTGCGTCGTGTCTTCGCGTTCGAGCTTTCCAAGCTTAATGAGCTACATAATTCTCGCAACGTCATTAGTCTAATAAAATATAAAACGCCAACTGTATAAAAACAGCAAATCATTTTTAAAACATTATGATATAACCTGCGGTTGGCAACAGTCGGGAGTAAAAATATTGAATACGAATATTATCATTACTAAGAAATATTGACGAACGACATTATTTGCCGAGTTATTTTTCGCCAATTGCCATAGCATTATATATACGATTATTATGCTCGCAATATGACACGTATAAGTCTATTCGGCATTCGTGTGTGTGTACACAATATCATATAAATTTGACAAAATTGGATTATGATATATGTGTATGTGTGTGTGTGTGTGTGTGTATGTGTTGATTTTGCTATAGACACATTTATATTATTTATTTCATACCACGTGCAATTATTTACATATATATATATATATATATATACACATATTTCTTTCTAGTCAATATAGTATTGATAAATTTCAGTCTTTTTACTGTTTACAAATCATACTTGTTATGCTATTGCGATGTAATGCAAATTTATGCAAAAGCGGATTTGCTTACGGTCAAGTGTTTGGGATGGTTTTATGGACATCGAAATTCTCATTCATATAACAGAACTATCGTCCTTCTTACATTATGCATGCGCGCTTTATGCATACTACTAACAGGATAAGTTAATAGTTTGTATTACTTGTTTGATACAATTCGCTTTCTTCTGCCGTGTAATTCGCATTACCTCGTTGAAACTCCACTTTGTCGTCTCGCGAGAACAATGAAGTAATTTATATGAATCCCTAAAAGCACAAAGTGAATTGCATACAACGCCTCGGGAGGGATTTATTCGTCTCTAGCGGCGTAAAATCGACGATAATGTTTCAAAAAGCTCGCAACATTCAACATTACTGAGTTAATTACACAATAATTCGTTGAAATATCTCTTGCAAGAAGGAAAAAAAAATCTTTGATAGGTAATATAGTACACTTAAAATAAAAAAAGAAGTAGAAATCTATAATTCCATAAATTATTTTCAAAAATTGACAAACGCACACAACAAAACTTTTTCAAATATGTATAATTTATATTGCTGTAAATTATATTTTATTCTAACTAAGGGAGACTTTTTTCCGAATTATATTTTGCTTCTACTGATGATACAGCGATAATAAAGAAATGTGACGATGGTTTTTCTGATGGATACTTATCTTTATAGACGCGCGCCAGTGCATCGCGCGACGGTGACCATTTACTGACGGCTTAGGGAATATTAAACGGAACAAAAGAACAAGCATTTAGCATAGAGGAATGCGTGACCTTTCCGACCTCGCTTTACCGATGCGAAACCCATGAAGCTGAAAATCCTCGGGTATCCCGCACTTCGCTGCATACGGTTTCGCGCATCTATTCTTCGTCCGCTTTGCGGCTTGACGCCGTCGCCACAATATACGCGTATCCGGCGTTATAATAAACGGATGACGAGCAGCATCCCGCATATCTGATCCTGCGGCTACATTGCACGGAAATTTATGCACTATAAGACGCACACGCTAAATTTGACGTACCGCATACATTAATTCGTAAAAAAAACCAAAAATCTTATGTTTAATATGCGTCCAAATATAATTAAATATTGCCAATTAAATGTCGCAAAAACATCTGTACATTTCACGATTGTTTTCCAAAATTAACGTAAAAGCGAGACTCTTGTTTTATTGACGTGATGTATTTATGATGTTTATAATTATGTTTACATATCGTTATTTTTTTAGAATCATAATGAAAAATATATATAATTTTATTTATTTTTTAACAGCACATTTTGATAGACTGTTAAAATAATTGTACGCGAAATATTTTTAAAATAACATTTTGGGAAAAAACAACGATGTTGGCAAATGTCTAACAAATAAGTTATGTTAAAGCGGGTACTCTCTTTGGGGCTACCCTCTTATTCCATAGCTCAGCATATTGCAAATTTCTTGACAACGGTAAAGCTTTGCGAGTATTCTGCCTTAACAACGCACCGTTTCACGCATTTATCCTTCCTGTATTCTGCGGCACAACAGGAAACGGTTGTAAACGATGTATCCGGGGTTATAACAAACAGTTGATGGACCTCCATCGCTCGTAATGTACAGCTAAATTGCGTGCGCTCATTTAACCCTACGTATTATGTAAATTCACGGTTTTGCAACCAATTTCTCTAGCACGTTTCGCCAACCTTTTCTCCTCGCAAAAGCAAATATTAATCTCTCACAAATTAATATTTAATCACTTGAAAATATACCAAAGACATTGTAAGAGGGAGCGTACAAAGTACAGTAGATTTGTTTTTCTCCATAAAAATTTGATTAGGAGCGCTTTTTAATATGATATTAACATGGACTGTTCCTGCATCATCTGATATTAATTAAAGTATACTAAGTTTTGTTTTCTTTTTGAATTTCTCTCGCCAAAATTCATCGAAAGATTTAATGGTTCGCTTATTTATATCTGAATGATTGTTAATGATTGTACATTCATTGTGATGTAATTATAGAATGCCGTAAGGGTTTTGCAAAAGGATTTTACATATTTGTTCTCTTCCCTTTTGTATTTTCGCATTGTATTTTTAATTAATACGAATAAAACGTGTGGAATAAAGTATTATAAAATAATTTATGAATATTAATTACATTTTATAAAATTAATATCAAATATAAACCTTATAATTGAACATTGATTTTATATGAAAACGACTCTAAAGTCTTTTGGAATATTTGTTGAAAAATAAGCGAACGAGAACATTATCAAGATCGCGCAAAGAGAAACCCCGTCGGCGTTCATGGCTCCCAGCACAAAGGCGCATTATCCCGCCGAAAGAAATCCTCATAACGAATGTCACGGTCCGCGGGCCCCGCGATTCTGCCCTTTGTGCTCGGAAAAATCCGCGCGTTAAATCTCATGCTTGTCAACCGGCGCCATTCTTCTTCTATCTGCTCCAGAGCCCGACGCCGCCGCAATACGTGTTCTGGTATCACAATAACCGGATGATAAACTACGATACCACGCGCGGCAGCGTGACCGTACAAACCGATCCAGGACCAACTCAGAGCCGGTTGACGATTCGCCAGGCGGTGGAATCCGACACGGGCAATTACACGTGCAGCGCCTCCAACACCAAGCCGGCATCGATCTTCGTCTTCGTCACCGAAGGCAAGTATAAGCAATGTGTTTTGTACAGAGCACACAAGCGCTCCCTTAATCAATACAAACCCCGACTAGGTTATCCTCGGGGTCTCTTAACTATCTTCTCCGAACAAATACCAGTAAGGTACTCAGAGAAGATTGAATCTAAAATATTTGTTTTAATCAGAATACACATTCACAGATATTTAATAAACTATGATGACTCATCTTTAGATATTCGAATAGATTTTCGATTATCAAGATATTTAATATTGAAATCGTTGATATTACGAAGAAAGATTAGATATGTCAATATCAATAAAGACAAAGCTTAGAAATTCTCAAAAAAGCTATTTCATTAAAAGAAAATACGTGATTTTTCATATAAACTTCTAAATTACATAAATTTAGCATCTCCTAAATTATATCAGTATCAAAGTGTCATTTCTTTTCCTCGCTATATATCCAATGTTTTTTTCTATAATATGTCAGTTACTTGACGTCATACATAAATAAATGTGTATAGAATGAAAAGATAAAAATATTTAAAAAAAAATTGATTCTGACAATTTTTTAATTTTAAGAGATGCACGCGTGGAGAGCAGTCTGATAATACATTCATAGTCATTAAAGTTAATGATAAAGATTACAATAATAATCACATTGTGTACACACAGAGAACGACAAAACAACATCTTTCAAAATTGTCTAATATCCTCGACTAAACAAGAAATACATCCATTTACGGCAACATCCGATTCCGCTTCAAGACACACTTCCCTTTTTTGATACGATCGTTTCTGTTATTTCCACATTTTGCGCACGTAGATTGCGTAGAGAATATACGTGGCGTCGTATCGCATCTATATGTATATGTACGTACACACATGCGTGTGAACGACGAACCTCCCCGGTCCTTCGACGATCGATCACTCGTCGCCGCCGATAACCCTCTCCGATGTATATATATAGCGCGATTTAACCCCTTTCTAACAAGGGCCATGACTGACGAAGAAGCCCAAGACTCTTCCAGCAAAAAGCGGTCCTCGTCGGCTCCACATTGTCGTGGAAAAACCTGCGCGCGACGACTTTACCGGCAAATCGCTCGCAATTTTCGGCGTCCGCCAGGTTTACCGTAATTGATGTGAAAGGATGAGAACAGAGTCGCGAAAATCTTAATTGGATTACGAGAAACTCGGTCGACCAGAAGATTTATTATACGGACATATGGAGAGAGAGAGAGAGAGAGAGAGAGAGAGAGAAAGAGAGAGGCGCACTTCTCTCTTGCCTCGTCGAGTTAAGCGCGTTTTCCCGGACCTTTGATACATGCATGTCGCCATTTGCGAAGAAGCAAGTGGATCTCTCGCGGTAACAGCTGCGATTAAACATGAGATATTACGTTCTAATTACGTCGGATAGGCAGTGGATATCATAACGCTTTCTATTCGCGAAATATACATTCAAGTAATATCATAGAATTTAATTAATAAAATTAAACAAAGGGCATTATTTGTTTCCGACGCGGTTGTAAAAAGAGTAATTTAGTAATAGTAAAATCATAAGTTAAAAACAGGAACAATCGCCACACATATAATACATTTAAATCGATGATTGAGAGGTTGAAGCATTGAATGTAGATTCTTCTCCTTTATACGGCAAGATAGGTTGATTTTCGCGGACGATCAAACGAGAAATCCATGCCATAAAATCGGTACCTACGGCTATCCTCTTGACCGGTCAATAGCACATATATATGTACACAAAGCGCCAGCGTGCTCGGAGCAACAAGAGTCCATCCGCATGCGTGATAAACTGTTATACGAGCGTCCCTTCTGTGTTTCGCGAATGTACTAAGCTTTCAGGTTAAATTTTGAAGATATGGACTCCATTATCAAGCACCGCACACCCGAACCGACGCAGAATTCCGCGTGTGTATTCGCGTTTACGTAGACGCGCGGTTGTCTATATACATATACGTTTGCGTATCACTCACACACTGACGCGTACGACGCGGTACGTAATTCACAGCCCCGGGAACATATGGGGCAACGCCTCGCGCCGTAAATTATGGTAAAAGTGTGCATGCGCTCGCATTTCGGAAGAGACACGTATCGCCGATGAATGTTGCAAATCTGGCGGGTCCGCACCATGAATTTTGATATTTGGTAGACAGAAAGAAGTATCCGCGCACTCTCCCTCTCTCTCTTTCTCGCGCTCGCCGCTGCTTTTTCCCAGCGGTAAATTTACGATGGGATTATATCATAGTGGGTGTGCGTGTGTGTGTATGCGCGCACGCGCGCGATCGGGTACGGTGATATATCGATAGGCCGGGTCAAGGCAGCCCGCGATATTATTAATGACGATCGGTGACGTAATATCCGGCCCGGGACAAATGCGATCGTCACCGAAGGCGCCGCGATGTCGTGCGGACGTCAAGTCTGCTAGCGCTGATATTAATGCCGTATATTCAGCGAGCAGTTTGCACGAGATATCGCGAAACGATTCTCTTTTTTTTTTTGCCGTACAATTACAGAAATCTAATTACAGGATCATTTAAAGTTAAACGAATTGAAAGTTACGTTCCGATAAAATAAACTTGAAGAGGATAAAAGAGAGTGCAGAGATTAATATAGATTAATAAAGGTAAAATTTTATTTTCCTCGCTTGAGTGGATTTTTTAGTTCTCATACGGAATACAGAATTCTCTTCGCGTTTGACGCAAAATTCATGTTGAAAATTACGCGTGCCCGTTTAACATGCGTGCCTCGTCGTAGCGAGAAGCGCGTGTAATATCAACACATATCTGCTTTGCTCTCGCTCGCAAGATAGAGAATTAATTATTACGCGTACGAGGTAATGAGATGAAATATCTCTGTGAGCTGCAGCACACGTTGATGACATTGTCTTTTGACCGAGATTTTTGACCCTGTCATCGCGGGAAGAGCGAGGGTGTATTTCCACGAATGCATTTAGCTATTAATGACGAATTCATATAGCGACGTAGCTTCTCTGAAGTATGAACTATTTCGGTTACAGTCTCTCAGTACGGGTGGTACAATTATGTTTCTAAATATTCCCCGCGAAATTATCGCGTTGCTTGACGGCGCGCGGGTTTAATGATAGATCGTCGTAACTACCGGTTAGTTATTTCTGGGCTGGTTAACGCGCTGTTTCATCCGTTCTCCGTTATTCTGACCTGCTAGTACAAGGGAAACGCCGCAAAATCCTTAATGAATATTGCAGAACTTGAGACAGCCGCTTTATCCGGCAAATTCCGCGAGCTTCGCGTGGGCGACGAAGAGCGAGGGATGCGGAGGGGATGAAGTCTTGGTGTCGCGATAAATTATCTAAGCGTCGCGCAACGCCCGGGGTAAATTGGCTTAGCGCGGCGATACTTAGATGGCAATCTAATTAAAGGTTGGGGAACGCATCATCCTGTGTCGTGAGAAGACGATGCGTTCGAGCGAGCTTTCGAACTCGACGATGAGAAGCCCCGCAAAAATCCGGCCGGCCTCCCCGAACCGATTGTAATCAGATCGTAAACGGATGTTTGCATCTAATGCGCATATATTGCGACCTTTATCTTCTGTCGACTAACCGTGAGAATTGCTCGTAAACTCTTATTTGGCGCTTTTGCGCCAATTATAGCGTGTACGAATGGCCCACTTTGTCGTCAGGATTTCTACGGCAACGGTGTAATAGTTGTTCGGACAGTAAAAGTGCCATAAACGTAGCGAGTAGATTGTCCAATTTTTATATGAACACGCCTCTCGGATGCTGATTAAATTTTCTTACGAGCGCAAGTTTATGAATGGTATAGTAATTAATAAAAGCAACTCGGTTACGAATAAAGAAAGATTGAAATAAAAAGAAATTGAAAATATATAGAAGAAAAGAAAAAAAATGTTATATTATGAGAAAAGAAAGACGTACAGTATCGTAAGAGAACATTCTCAATATTATTAATGACACAAAGAAATAATAAAAAACTGATATCGATATAGAATAGACTTGAAAAAAAAAACTGCTGCGTCTAAAACGATTTCATCGTCCGTAACAACAATTCCGTAACTAAATTAACTTCGCGATATTCGATTGTGCTTTTATGAAAGTAATTTTAAAAACAATAGGTGTGTGTTCGCTCTCTGCCAATGCCCGAATGTGCTTTTTCTTATCTAAAAATCTCTTCTTAAAAATAAAAACCAATTAATTCTTTCAGAAACATTTTCGAGGAATTACCGAAATTCGCGATATATTGAGAAGATAAATCTGGTTTCTCGCAAGATGCAAAATAAAATCTTTTCTCGAGAGCCTGTTTATAAAGTAAAAAAAAAAAAAAGACAATAATATCCGTAGACAGATAATATTTATCCATCTTCATTCTTTTAGTTGATAGAGCCGTTTCGTTTTATCATGGAAAATTTATGAGCCAATGGGAAAATTCTTATTAAACGGTTCTCGCTACGAGGCGATCAGAGCATTAAATCCTCCTGGGTTGTACCAGCTGTTTGTCATTAGGTTTTGAGAGCGTCTTTATAACCGATGCACGTAGGCCGTAAATGCTGAAATGCACTCTGACCCAAATCACGATTCTCACGTAGATTCTGGATCATGCATCCGAAGCATCGTGTTACTTTTATGAACACGCTACACGACTCAGTGAATACTTAAAATTATTTTGATACAGTCCGATTATATATATGTATATCATTCTCTCGCAATTTGTTGATACGATTAATTAGAAATTTGTAATACTTAGTAGAAATTAGAATTAAAGGAGATATAATACGATAATTTATTATATATATATAACATATTCTTATAGAGTTTTATATATATGAATTGGATAATAAGTATGTGTAGAATTAAGTGTATATATAAATATTTTTCATAATCTTACATTTGCAGATATCTTGGAATAAGTTGAAAAGCATTTAAAAGATAAATACATGAGCAGGAGTCATTAGACCTCGCAATCAATGCACGTATTCTGTAAATGTTTGAATGCACTTCGATTTAATTGACAA